CGACAATCCTGTTCCTACTTGGGTAAATCTAGAGAGGAAATCAGTCACGGCGAGCTCTCTCTCTGCTTTACTTTGCTCCCGGTTACCGTTTAATCAACTAATCTCAACTTATACTTCTAATCCTGTTGTGACTCGCACACTAAAAATCTGGAATCAGTGCAGGAGGTCGCTTAAAAGTACAGAATTATTATTGTCTGCTCCAGTATCAAATAACCATATGTTTGCCCCTTCACTAATGGACTCTGTTTTCAATACCTGGAGTTTAAAGGGAATAACTTCTCTAAATGATCTTTATAAAGACAATAAGTTTGCCTCATTTGAACAGTTAGCTCAGAAATTTGACATCCACAAGTCACAGTTCTTCAGGTATTTACAACTGAGACATTTTGTAATGTCAAGCTCTGGAWGTTTTCCTCTACGCCCCCCAACTTCTCTTATAGATGAGATTCTTATGTGTAAGTCTGTAACAAAATGCTCTATGAGCAGAGTTTATTCTCTGAGCAGAGTTGAGCAGAGTTTATTCTCTGCTCAGCTCATTTTCTGACTCCAATTTAGATTCTTTGAAGGGCAAGTGGGAGATGGACTTGGAGGAATCCATATCAGTTTGTTTTTTGTTTGTGATTTGTGTTAAAAAATTTAAAAAAAACTTTGAAAAAAAAGCAGCATTTAGGTCAAAGAAGATGAGGATGGATAGGAGACCAGAGTCGGCAGCAAGGAGAAGATCATTGGTGACTTTTTGAATGACCCAAGGGATCAGAACATGCATCAGTACTGAGCTGTCTTGTGAATATTAAGACAGCACTGAAACAAACAGAAATGAGAAAATATTTTTCCGTGCTGGTGCAACTTTGCAGCTACTATGGACAGGTGTGTGCTCTTATTACTGTAATCACTACAGCAAGAATCATCAACACTGACCCTGTGTGCAGCTGGGTGCCTGCAGGGTCTGTTCATGTTCTAAAGATGACCAGCAGTGCAGCTCCAACTAATGGAAGGCCTCTCAACATTCAAAAAACTAACCAGACGTGTTTGTGCACACAAAGTGCCAAAAAGAGCAGCTGTTAGGTCTGCAAGTCATGCTGGACCCACAGAAACACAGAGCTGATTCACACACACACACACACACACACACACACACACACACACACACACNTAATCAATCCGTGAGGTCACAAGACTGTGGACAAGGATGGCTGTGGTGCAGGGTGTGAGAAAAGGACGGAGACGGTTGATATTTCTGAGGTGGAAGTAGGCAGACCGAGTAACGTTATTGATGTGTGCAGTGAAGTCCAAGGCGTGGTGTCGAGGATGACACCAAGACTTTTGACCTGAGGGGAGGGGCTTAGCAGAGAGTTGTTGATAGGGATGAGATTATTAGATTTTTGAGATTGAACTTTTAGTGCCGACAAGAATAATTTCTGTTTTGTCATTATTCAGTTGATGGAAATTGTCTGAAAACCAGTGATTGAGTTCATTGAGACAGTCCATGATGATGGAGGGAAGGGTGTGTAGAGTTTGGCTTGGTTGACAGGTAGAGCTGTGTGTCATCAGCATTACAATGGAAACAGACACCAAACTTGTGGAAAATGTAACCAAGAGGAAGGAGGTGAGTAATAAAGAGAAGGGGTCCAAGGACAAAGACTTGGGGCACGCCAGTGGAGACGGGGGATGACTCAGAGTGGAAGGGTTTTATCTGGATGAATTGAGTGTGATCAGAAAGATTAAATTTGAACCAGTCAAAAGCAGTACCTGAGATGCCAATGGATGTGAGTCTGTTGAGGAGGATAGAATGAGAGATTGTATCAAAAGCAGCACTTAGGATCCACGAATAGGCAGTAAGTTGTTAGTTACCCCATGGTCTTGGTGGCTTGTCACTCCCCAACTATTTATATTACTACTGGGTGGCCAACCTTAGAGCCTTACTGTACTGGTTGAGAGAGGACAATCCTGTTCCTACTTGGGTAAATCTAGAGAGGAAATCAGTTACGGCTAGCTCTCTCTCTGCTTTACTTTGCTCCCGGTTACCGTTTAATCAACCCATCTCAACTTATACTTCTAATCCGGTTGTAACTCACACAATAAAAATCTGAAATCAGTTCACGAGGTTGTTTAAAAGTACAGAATTATTACTGTCTGCTCCAGTATCAAATAACCATATGTTTGAGTGTGGTCAGAAAGATAAGATTTGAACCAGTCAAAAGCAGTACCTGAGATGCCAACGGATGTGAGTCTGTCGAGGAGGATAGATAGAGGAGTAAGGTTGTTTAAAAGTACAGAATTATTATTGTCTGCTCCAGTATCAAATAACCACATGTTTGCTCCTTCACTAATGGACTCTGTTTTCAATACTTGGAGTTTAAAGGGAATAACTTCTCTAAANAAAAAAACTTTGAAAAAAAAGATAAATTATTTTCAAAAAGAATTATTTTTTGTAACCCTGTGTAATTTCCTTCACTGTATATGGAAACAGTTAGAGGACATGGAGATAGCTGAAGTGATGACAGAAGAAGATGTAGATAACTTGCTGTGACGAACTCTGAAAGTTGAACAGCCAAAACAAAAAGAGTTTTGACTGGCAATTATGGATGTCATGGTAAACTTTGTTTATAGACAACAATTTGTGGAAGTGTTCCTGCAGTGCTGAAGATCAGGGGCATCAAATAATAGCTTTTAGTTTTGTCCAATGAGCTCAGAGATTTGTCCAGAGTCTTTAAATCTTTGGATCACTGTTCAGAGCATTTCTTAAATGTGTTGTTTCCATTAAAACTTTCTTATTAAAAATGTACACTTTTTATTTCCATATTTGAGATGTTTAGTGTCTTACATAGAGAATAATACTATGCATTTATGAGACTTGTAAATCATTGCATTTTGTTTTTAACTATATATACAACATCCCACTGCTGCTGGAATTGGAACTGCAACATAGTAACAGTTAAGGACAGCATTTACATTTTTAAGTGTTTAAGTGTTTTAAGTGCATGACTACCTGGCTAACTTGATTCACCATCTCCTCTTCTTCCTCAGCTTCTTCTCCAAATGATAAAAGACTGAAGTTCCTGACAAAAATTAACTTACACACTTAGAAAATTACAATAAGTCAAATAAAACCAACTAATAAATCCCAAACTGAAACATTAAACAGGAAGAAAACAACAGAAGTGAAAAAAAACTACTTTGTACATCTTTCCTTATAAATAACCAAACTATGCATGAGTCACTGGTAATCCAAATGTTTTAATATAGATATGATAAAGAAAAGATATATTAGGCAACAAATGTTGAAAAAAGGAACAGGTTTGCAGAAGTTACACAACAGTAAGAAAAGTGTGAGAACTCACTTTGTGGCTTTTGACTGGGATTTCTTTACCTCCTCTTTATCTTTTTTTCCTTTCTTTGTTTCACGAGGTACAATGTCATCAAAAGGAGAGTGAAGTACCTACAAGTCAAAAAGTGAAAAGAAAGTCACATTTCTGAACATACCTAAAACATTACAGAATGTAAAATAAAAATACCTCGGTAGTTCTTATCTTGTGAGGATTTAGAGGTCTTTCGTTAACATCACATTCAACTTCTGCTAATCTGAGCAAGTTATAAATTGTGTCTCCAGTGACCTGCGTTACAAAAAACAGAAAAAAACACAAGTGAAACTTGAGCAGGCCTCCTCTTTAACACATAATTCTTTAACACCCAAACAAGTAAAACTTTTATGGTAGCAGCTGTTTTCAATTAAATATCAATTCTGTCCAAATAAATGTTTCTAATGCCTCTAATGTTTTCTAAAGAAAAGTCCAGAATAATTCAGACGCAACTGTAAATTACTACATTTTATCTTTATCAAACAAACAAAGAGCTGAGTGCTCATGTAGACTCAGTCATTCAGAGCAGGAGTAATCAAGAAAAGGAAACTGAACTTGTGTTTTGTTTTCCATCAGGGAGCTTTCTCAGTTCAATTGGAGAGGTCCAAGCTTTAAATTATGAGCTGCTCTGTTTATGCAGCTAAACTCACATGTAGATGAATCTCACTCTCCTCCCATTAAGACCTCTGCATCCATCCAAACTGCCAAAACCAGCTCATTGTCACAGGTGCATGATGGAAATCATGTCATTCTGTTCACAGCTTCAATCAGACGCCTCTTCTTGTTCCAGCTGGCTGAGAGAACCTTTCACTCTGCTCCACATAACAACTTACTGATTGGTCAGAAGTTTGTGGCCATGCTTGTTTATGCTTGGAGGGTGCATTTTGCTTCGACCACTCACCTCCACAAAAAATAAATAAATTAATTTAAAAAACTCACTTCCTGAATCCAACTGTTGTACCCAGAAGCAGATATTTATAAAGACAGTCAAATGTCCATAAACACATGAATGAAGAATAATAAATATTGTATTATTTTGCAGGGAGGAATCTGTCTGCAGAAGTGTGTGGAGTTTTAATCAGGACAGATTTATGCACAAACTAGACACCACATAGCGGTAACATAATGACCCCTGCACGCAGAAATGCACCAGAACTCAGAAGTCTTTATTCCTAATAAATGTCATGCTACCAGGTGCATCCTAAAACTGTAGTGGTTTGGGTGGAGGTTTTTTTTTTTTTTGTGGGGGGGGGGGGGGTGCATTGGTTGACCTGATGGATAGCCCCTCATCAGAGCTAAACAACCAAGGAAATTTGAAGCTCCTTTT